GATGTCAACAAAGTACATAAAGTAAGGAAAACGGGAAAAGCATGTGAAATGAGAGAAATAGGAAATATCAACAAAATACGTGAAGTTAATGAAACAGGCGAAGTAAATAAATCAAATGAATTAGGCGAAACAAATGGATCAAGTGAGGATGAATCAGGCGAAGCGAATGAAGAAAGCAATGGTTATTTTAATGAATTATGTCTTAATGGAGAGAATACAGGTACTTTAGATGTAATTTTAATAAAAGTAGGTGACTCATTCAGAGATTTTGCACATGCGGAGGAAAAAATACAACAGTATGCAGAGTTTAAAGGGTTTAAGATATGGTTGGGTCAGAGCACTATAGTGGGAACAGAGATGCGAAAGAGAACAATTCAATGTTAGAATTCTGGTCTGTATAAGGCAAGAAATCCAGAAAATCCTAAAACTTCTGTTAAACAAAGTCCCTGGCACATTAATTTTTCATGACCGCTTAAGCAGAATATTGAAAATCTCGTTTATATAACAACCTTAGAGGATACACATAACTATGAAATGTCTATTGAAGCATTGCAGTTTGAAAAATTAAAGGTGTTTATGAAGAACATGCATGATGATATTGAATTTTATGTAAAAAAATGTAGCTTTGGTGCGACTACAATTAAACAGATTCTTAGTTAAAAATATCCATTACATCCAATTTATTCTCAAGATCTTTATAATGAGATTAAAAAGCACAAACCATCTGTGCAATTAATTGAAGGTAATGCTGCCTGGTTTTATGAGAGCTTGTTGGCTAAACAACGTGAGGACCCCTGGTGGTTTATAGAAGCAAAATGGAAAACTGAAACATGTACTCTTGTTGGTCTTTTCTAGATGAGCCCAGATCAGATTTTGTTATGGTCTGAATTTGGAGACTCTATTGGACATGACAATACTGCAGGAACAAACCGATATAACATGCCATTATCTATCTTTGTTGTACTAGACAATAACATGCAATCTCGAATAGTAGCACAGGCTTTAATAAGTGATGAGACTAGTGATTCATATGAATGGGTATTACACATGACAAAAAAAGCAACTCAAGAGCAGATACCTAATATGATAATTATTTCGATTATTGTTTGTTCTGTTTGTCCTATTTGCCTAGCTCACTTCACTAGTTGTTTGCTTCGTTCGATTCGTTTGTTTATTTACAATGTTGTATAACTTTGGAACTGCAACAATAGTGTAACAAACTATTAGAGATTAAAGCAGTCAATACTATTTGTTTATCTACCACCACTTCGACACACTTCGACACGTAGCTTAGTATGTACGTAGGTA